ATGTTGGTTCATTGATGAACATGATAGTGGTATAAGTTGCTATATATGAAGATGATTACACATGATGATTGGGTTATATGAAGCAAGGCATTAATTATGATTCCTTGTCTTGTTTACTTGATTATGTGAGGTTATGGGGATTCACATGAGCATTACACTTGTAGTCTTGGAATGGGATTGTTGGTAAGGGTCTTGTATGTTGATCTTATGAACGCTACTATATGAATTGTGGTTATGACTTTATGTTGAGGTTATTCATGTTGTGATAATGATGATGTTATTCATGTTGATATAGCTTTATGATAATGTGTCTTGTGGTGGATATGAACTTGTCTTAAATGATGTATTGCTTATTTACTTTTATATGCTCTTGTGTGCATGAAGGCTTTCAAAAATTATATAGCATGTTTTTAAGGAAATGGTCCTTTCCATGCATGCATTCAAATGGTTTTATGTGCATATATCCATATTTAGTACAAATGGTTGTACAAACCCATATCCTTTGTATTTCTACTAATATGTAGGTTCGGACCTTTAAAGTGATTTGAGGTCATTTGCAAGAAGACTTGGACATCTTTCCCAAGTTATTGGTGAGTCCTCAATGTTCGAGGATGGTGCCATCTATCTAGCCTAGTAGTGTTGTTATGTCTAAAGACATTTGTTTCCTTCCTTTATCATTTGAGACTATTAATGTAAGCCTGTAACGGCATATTGTATTTGTAATGGCTATGACCAAATGTTGTAATCAGTTTAGATAGTTTATATGTGAGACAAGATATTAGACTCTTATATGTATGTTTATGCTGAATGAGAAGTCTATGTATACTTACTAAACGAGGAGTCTATGTAAAATTCATATATGATATGTGAGAATTCTAAGTACACATCACTATGTAAAACATTTAAATTTTCCGCATTTTTGACCTATGACATGTAATAAAGAATGCCAAGGGCAAGTTTAAGTCCTCTATGAGGACGAAGCCGTCAGTTACGTCTAGGGAGTGCTCACTGGTTGTGACAAACTTCGTATTAGAGCATGAGATTAAGTAAACCTAGGATTGATGTTTCACTAAACCACGTCTATGTAGAATCTTATTGATAATTGTGAAGCGTGCCACACTTATGAATGAGAGGCTATATGATGCTTAGGAAATTCTCTAATCTTCTTGGTAATCCTATGTTGTACCTCAAGAGTCTTAACTCTATGTGTCCTTGTCATGTAATCCTTTTATTGTGGTTATAAGCTATGGCTACTAGAAGGGCATCCGCTAGAAGAGTCTAAGAAGAAATTGCTAATGCGGGAGCTCCTCCATAATACAATAAAGCACCTCCTCAAGAACAAGTTCCTTTGGGTGGCCAAGCTTGGTCATTCCTCCAGTTACGATAGATGGAGAGATAAGGTAAGATTTTTTGACTTTGTCTAAAGTTTTGGCTACTCAATCCCAACCATAGCTTCTCAAGCTCAAGCCATGATGGACCAAGCAGACCGAGAAGTTAGACCCTGTGTGAACCAAAATGCTAGTACCATGACTTCTTGGTTGAGGGACATTACTAGGATGATCCATCCAATGTTCTATGGTTCAAAGGAAGATGAAGACCCCCAAGACTTCCTTGGTGAGATATACAACATTTTATATGCTATGGGGTTGAGTTCAAATGAGAAGGCTGGTATGAACACTTATCGTCTCAAGGATGTGGCTCAAACTTGGTATTCTTAATGGAGGGACAATAAGGCTTTGAGAGCGGGTCTCATTAGTTGGGAGGTGTTTAGAAGAGCTTTGGTTGGTAACTTCTTCCAAGGGAGAAAAGGGAGGCTAAAAAATTTGATGAATTTATTGAACTTTTTCAAGGAGGTATGAGTGTACTTTAATACTCTTTGAAGTTCACTAAGTTGTATAAGTATACCTTTTCTTTGGTTGCAAATCCGAGGGATGAAATGAGCCTCTTTGTTATGGGAGTGTCCGATGATTTGGTTGAAGAGTGTCATTCGACGATGCTTCATGACAATATGGATATTTCTCGGTTGATGGTGCATTGTCAACAAGTGGAAGAGAGTAGGGTTAAGAGGAAGATTAAGGATGCAAGGAAGGCCAAGTCTAATGAAGGTGGTTCTTCTAAAGGATGGTTGGAAATTCAAGACAAGCCTAGATTCAAGAAGAGGTTCTCCAATCAAATTCCTGCTAACTTTCCCAAGGCTCATGATGATAGGGTGTCTAACCCTAAGACATAAAAGGGAAGAGGTGGCAATTCCCCAAGCAAGAAACCTACTTGTACCAAATGTGGTAAGAAGCACGTAGGTGAATGCTTAGTTGGAACAAATAATTGCTTTAGATATGGTAAGAGTGGACACAAGATGAGGGATTGTCAAAATGTAAGGGGTCAATAGAAGGGAAGTGATCAAGCTTAAGCAAGTGGTTCTAATTCTTATATTCTAAGAAAGAACCGCTTCTATGCTCTCCGTTCTAGGGGAGGATCACGAAGAATCTCCTGATGTTGTCACCGGTCTGTTACAAGTATTTACTATTAATATTTATGCTTTACTTGATCTTGGTGCAACATTATCATTGTGACTCCTTTATTAGACATGAAGTTTGATACATTGCTCGATATCTTAATTGAACCGTTTTTGGTTACTACCCCGATGGGTGACTCGGTTATTGCTAAAAGAGTCTACAAGAATTGTCCTATAATGTTGCCCAACAGATATTACTATAGTAGACTTGGTAGAACTTGATACTGTCACGACCCGAGTCAAATGAGGACATACTTCAACTTGGTTGAAAGATCCTATAGTCCAAGCTTCGTTCCCAAAAGCACCTTAACTAATGAATAATTGTAGAGATAGATAAAAGCATGAAATTCGTACAAACACATGTGCGCGTTGCAAAAGAATTTTCAAATCTTATTTCTTGAAAATTTTGAGACAAAATGGTTCGTGACAGCCCCGCGTCGCAGGGCTAGAATTTTTCCCACTGCATGTCAGCTGCGCGGATGGGATTTCTCACCTCATTTAATAGTATGAAGTGGAGGCAACCCCCCTCTACACCTGTCCACTAAGGCCAACTTACAATCTGATCCCTTTTTTTAATTGTTGCCTTGAGTGGTGGGGCCCACTGGATTAAATTAATCCTAATCAGCCACCAATTATGAGTGGTGGGGATCATTGGATTAAATTAATCCTAATTAGTCACTAATTAATCCCTCACTTAAAGTTAATGGCACTTACATTAGCCAACTCATACTTAATATCACATTTGAAAATAACATCCTTGCCAAATATTTCTTTAATCACTTGGTACTTAAAAAAAAATCTCATTCCCCGGACTTACGTCTACTAGATCATGATGCGCACTACGTATAAAAAAATACGAGGCATAATAGTTTCAATGAGGCCGGAGACCGGATGGAAAGTGTATGATTACTTGAAATTGAATGCATGGACTGAAAAAGGCTTTCATGGATCAAATGTTGGATAGGCTGGCAGAAAAGAAGTGGTATTGTTTTCTTTATGGTTATTCGGTTACAACCAAATCTCTATTGCACCAAAAGATCAAGATAAAACCACTTCTACTTATCCTTATGGAAATTTCGTGTCCAAGAGGATACCCTTCGGGTTGTGTACTGCATCGGCTATTTTTCAGAGATGTATGATGTTCGTATTCTGTGATATGGGTGAGGATATCATTGAGGTATTTATGGATAATTTTTCTGTTATTGGTGACTTGTTTTATCAGTGTTTGAATCACTTATCCAAAGTTCTCAAAAGAGGTGAAGACTGCAACCTTGTGCTAAATTGGGAAAAAAGTCACTTTATGGTGAAAGAGGGTATTATATTGGGCCATTACATCTCGGAGAAGGGTATAGAGGTTGAGCTAAAGTCGAGGTGATAGAGAGACTTCCTACACCCATGTCTGTAAAAGGTATGAGGAGTTTCCTTGGGTATGTGGGTTTATACTAGAGGTTCATCAAGGATTTTTAAAAAATTGCACATCCTCTGTGCAAGTTACTCTACAAAGACTGTAAATTGTTTGGTGAGTTGAAGGAGAAATTGGTGTCTGCGCCCATTATTATTTCCCCGGATTGGAGTAAGCCATTTGAGGTGATGTGTGATGCTAGTGGGGTTGAGCTTGGTGTAGTTTTGGGTCAAAGAAGGGATAAAATCCTTCACCCCATTTACTATGCCATTAAAGCCCTTAATGAAACCCAAAATAACTACACTGTGACGAAATTAGATCTCCTTGTGGTGGTCTTTGCTTTCGAGAAATTTCACTCTTATTTTCTTGGAACAAGACTTATAGTGCATAAAAATCATTCTGCCTTGAGATATTTGATGGAAAAGAAGGATGAAAAACCAAGGTTGATTCGTTGGGTATTACTGATGCAAGAATTTTGGTTTGAAGTGAAAGGTAGAAAAGGGACCGAAAATCAAGTTGCTGATCACTTGTCCCAACTAGAGGATGAAGATATGCAAGAATTGGGTGAAAAGGCTGAAATTGATGATACTTTTCCTGAAGAGCGTGTATTGGCCACTTCTCAAGACTTGATTCCATGGTTCATTAATTTTGCAAATTACTTGGCTAGTGATATCGTCCCATCGGACTTGTCCTCTCATCAAAGGAAAAAATTCATGCATGATGTGACAAATTTCTTTTAGGATAAGCCATATTTATATAGGAGTTTTTTCGATGGGATTATTCGGCTTGTGTGCCGGAAGTCGTGATGATTAGTTTTTGGAAGCATGACACTCCTCGCCTGTGGGTCCACATCATAGTGGTATTCAGAAAGCCCATAAAATATTTCAATGTGGCTACTATTGTCCAACAATCCACCAAGACGCTCATGAGTTCGCCAAGGCATGTGATACGTGCCAATGAGATGGAGGTGTTTCTAGACGGCAAGAACTTCCTTTAAATCCCATTTTTCTAATTGAGTTGTTTGACGTGTGGGGTATTGAATTTATGGACCCCTTTTTGTGTTTTCATGGAATGAACTATATTCTTATGGTGGCTGATTATGTGTTAAAATGGGTGGAATCCATAGAAGTTGCAAATAATGAAGGGATGAGTGTCACCGCGTTCTTGAAAAAGAACATATTTTATAGATTTGGCACCCCAATGGCCATTATTAGTAATGGGGGATCACACTTCTGCAACAAGTTGTTCAACGGGTTGTTCGAGAAATATGAGGTTCGTCACAATGTGGCCACGCTATACCATCCTCAGACTAGTGGGCAAGTAGAGGTGTCTAACAGGGAAATCAAGCAGATTCTTATAAAAACTATGAATGTTAGTAGAACGGATTGGTCAAAGAGGATTGATGATGATCTTTGGGTGGACCAGACAGTTTAAAGGACGCCCATAGGTATGTCTCCATACTAACTAGTATATGAGAAGGCTTGTCACTTGTAGGTTCAGTTAGAGCATAAGGACAAGTGGGCAATGAAGAAACTGAAGATGGATTGGAATGAAGCAGCGGAACAAAGGTTGAATGGGTTAAATGATCTTGATGAGTTTGGATTGAAGGTATATGAAAGTTCATCCCTCTACAAAGAAAAGATTAAGAAGTGCCATGACAAAAAGTTTGAGAAGCGAGATTTTGTGGTTGGGGATATGGTTCTTTTGTTCAACTCTAGGTTGCACTTGTTTTCGGGCAAACTCAAGTCCAAATGAACTGGTCTATCTTAATCACCCAAATTTTCTCTCATAGAGCAGTTTAGTTGGAGAATCAGGAGGGTGTAAGGTTCGATGTGAACGGTCAACAAATCAAGTTCTACCTTGGGCATGCTGAGAAGGAGAATGAAGTGATCGAGACATACCATATCTCTTAAGTTTGAGTAATCAAGAGTCCTGCATCGTGTCGCGACGTTAAATAAGGCGCTGATTGGGAGGCAACCTAATATGTATCCTTTATCCAACAATAGGTTTTTTGTGATTTTATAAGCGTAGCTGCATTATTTCTGTTTTTCTACCTTAATGTCACATATGAATTTTCTCTTATTTAGTTTTTTAGAAGTGTTGGGTAGAGATTAAACTAGGGACCGTGTTTAAAAAGTGTCCAGAAAATACAAAAGATTAGCTTATTAGGTGTTCAATGTGCAGAGACCAAATCTCCAGAAATCTATAGAAATTGGTCTTGTGCACTAATTGACGGACCAATCGACGGACCGTCATCAAGTCGACGGACCATCGGTAGTGTCCGTAGATCCCAGGCTTGCTTCACCTACCAACCTATTTTATATTTTTTATGCATTGGAAACAATTTCATGATCTTTTGTTGGGGGTGGGGTAAATTGAAAAAGAGTGCTAGGGTGAAGTCTGAATAGCCAAACTCACGATCCTCTTTTGTTGTTTTCTTGCCTGTGTTCTTTTTCTCCAAGAGACTGGTTATTTTAATGTTGAAACGACACACTGGTATCTCTTGTACATTATATAGTTATGACATCTGAAGCACGATTAGGCATGGTGAATGATGAATCTGTAGCTCTAGACATAGCATAGAGATACACCATTGCATGAACCTGAATCTAAAAGCTCGAACTAGGTGTTTGATAATCAGGTAAGGTAATGAGGTATTAAGTAAGTCTCACGAAAGTTGAATATTCCACCGTTGGTATGGATCTAGAACTTGCCCGGTTAGTCCTGCTAAAAGTAATCAATGATAGACAATTAGAAAAGGATCGTAGGCCCTTTTCAAAGTTAGCAAATATTTAGCACAAATAAAAGAAAACAAAATCAAATTAATCCCTTCTTGATCCAAATGATTTAAGCTTAAAATGGACCTTTTTTTTCCACCCAAATTTATCTTTTATGTGAACAATGTGTTGGCCCTGGTCCCTCCTTGGACATGTGTACCTCAGCTTATACCAAAAGCATAAGTTGAGGGTGGAACAACCTCGTCTTGGCCCTGACCCAACCTTGGGTATTGTGTACCTTGACTCATGGCAAAGCCATGAGTTGAGGGTGGCATTATAAGGAAACCTCCCGAAAGTGGGGTTGAAAGAATAAAGAGAGATAAAGAAGAAAAGAAAAGTGACTCAAGTAAAGTTCAAATCAAGTGAAAATTCGAAAAGAAAATAAAAAAAATTAAAAGAAGAGTCATTTACACAAAAGAAGAAATAAAGGAGAAAATCAAGGCAAATGAATATAAAAAAATTAACAATAGGACGGAATAAATGACAAAAAGATAGGACGCTTAGACGTTATGTCAAGGAGAGAAAAAATCATTAAAATGCATCCAAATATACCCTACCTGACCCTGAACCTACGTGAAAAGCTAAGAAAGTCCTATTGTGATACTGAGAGTCTAATATGGTGAACTTAAAGCAGTGAATATAAGGGTAAGCCTATGGCGACAAAGTACCAATGAGATGAGAAGTTGCTGTTAGAGTGAGTGTTGAAAAAATAATCCTTATACTCAAACTGAAATAAGTTTGTGAAAAAAGAGTATATTGTTTTTAAAGAAAGGACACAAATTGCAATACTGGAAATTTGGCACCTTAGTTACAAATAAAAGAGGAGAGGTGTCGGTGCGTGGTGAGTTTGTGTCATGGTATGATCTACATGAGAGATCCTAATAGTGATATCATGCTAAACATAATGAAAATAATCGGGATTGATACTGAGATGATTGCGAAAACTAAACTAAGGATATTTTTGTACAATGGTTTTTGTGATGAGTCATAGTATGTCGCATGAGGACAAACAACAAATTTAAGTTGAGGGTGTTGCTTTACCGTGGTTTCGCGGTACTTTAAATGGTTTCTCCTTAAGTTTTGTGTGTGTCTAAGGCCTCTTTGAAGTACTTTTAATGTATTTTTATAGTGTGTTTGCAGGAAAACTGTCCAGAATGAAGACGCTAAAGACTGTGCTCAAAATTGCAGAAATAATGATCTACGGAGCCATCGACGGTCCGTCGACTCATCAACGGTCTGTAAGTGGCAACCGTACTTTGAAGAGTTATGCTGCTAAGGAAAGATCGGGTAATTTTGACAAAGTGTGGGGCTACGGAAGGGATAACGGTCCATCATCTTATCGACGGACTGTCTTGGCAAACCATTGTTGTTAATAGAATGTAGTATTTATCTGATTTTTAAAAGATTATAAGTATGGAGCAACGAAGGCCATCGACAGACTGTTATTTTGGTCCTTCAATTGTAACAGAATGTTGGAAAAGATAGCAGCTAAAAAAGAGTTCAAGTATTGACCGACGGAGGCATCAACAGTCCATCATTCCCTCGACGGTCCATCGGTGCGGTCGTCGACTCGAGATGCATTTTGGATAGAAGTTTTCCTTATTTTGGTTCCCCTTTAGTTTTAGGACTCTTTTATTATAAATAGGACTAAAAACCTCATTTTTGGTGTGAGACTCTTTGTTAATTTTGAGATTTGTGTTGTTGGTTTTTGAACTTTGGATTTTGGAAAATACATCATTTTTCTATAATTGATTATTACTACTATGGGAACCATGGGTAACTAACAAAGTAGAATAGCTAAAATAAAAATTCTAGAATAATGTCTTCCATGTTTTGATAATTCTTTCATTTAGAAGTCTTTTTAACGGTGTCCAATGTTCAAAATCGCTTTGTTGCTACTTTATAAACCAAGGAGGTAGATAATAAGAAAGGAATTATCAACATAGATTTAGTATACACTATGTAATAGGCTAGTGTCGATTGGTGAGAAGTAATAACTAAACGATACATCGATTATGATTCTTAATATGAGCTAAAAGGTAAGTTTTAGTAAAGTACACACACGTAGCCGGACCAAGGTGCGGAGTGAAAATCACTAGTTGTCGGACCAAGGAATTAGGGAATGATAAATTACGACTTTGCATGCAAGATACCAGTAAAGAGTTGTTATAATTGCGGTTACCGTGTTATGAACCTATGGGAAACACTTAAACCCTTGTTTCTCTCATTATTTGATAAACATTAAATATTTGAACTAGCTACTTGTTTACTTAGATTTAATTAATTACTTTTGTTACACAAAATCCTACCTTTAATTGTTTATTTCTGGAAAAGACTTGACTATTAGAACTAATCGTAGATTAAAATAAACTTTAAACCATTTTCCTCGTGGGATCAACCCCAACCTAACATTTGGGTTCTTTACTTGATACGACCACTTATACTTCTTTAGGGATGTATAGTTTGAGAATATCATTAACTATATGATGAAGGTCATGCTTGACATAAACCTCTTCTTACTATGTTGATATATGACTTGGACGTAAAGTCTTGTGGTCTCATGATAGGTTTAGTAAGTGTGTGTGAGGTTATGGGGCCTTACATGTACATTGCACTAGTAGACATATAGTTTTTACTTAACTATGTCCTTATAGTTTTTACTTAACTATGTCTATGTTGTACTATACTTCTATGATGTTATGTGTTGTCTTGTGTAGATGATATGTATGTTTTCTTGTGATATTAAGGTGATGCATTGCACCAAATATCACTAAAGGGTTACTTGGGAACTTAATGAACAAAAGAGAAGATGGTTCACTATTAAGAGAAAAAAGGCTTATTGTAATGTGCCTTAAGAATGCAATAAATTCTATATGTGATCTTACGTGTTGTTTGTCCTTTTAATATGTTTATATGAAGTATGTGAATGATATAAATACTATTTTTAAAGGTTTTATTAAGATTTACTCAAAAAGGTATGAAGTATGATTTCAAAAAAATGTCCTTTTTCAATGAATGTTTTAACATTGTTGCCCTGCTTAGTGCATTCTTGTACTAATCCCATTCTCCTCTACTTTTTACACAAAGTGTAGGTTATGGTTGCTTAAAGTATGTCTATGATTGAGGAGCTTGATGTGTGATTCCCAAGCTCAAGGAAAGGGGTCCATAAGTTGCAAGGATTCCCTACTCATCTCTTAATGTAAAATGTTTAAAGATTGTCTAGTTATGCCTTACATTTTAAGGGTTGTGTCCCTAATGTATTCTAAATATTGTTGATTCTAAGATGACAAAGACACTTAGAATCTTAATATGTATTATGACTTATATTTTATTGATAGATGAGGTTGAGTTTCAAGCATATGATGTGCTATGAAAAGTTTTAAATTTTCTATTAAATTTACTTTGTCAATGCGATGAATGATAACTATGGGCTTGTACAAGACCTCCGAGAGGTCAAGTATTCCATGTTTCTTCTAGGGGGTTCTCCGTGGATGTACAACATTAGAGCACATGGTTTTAAAAGTGGTTTAGGGTCCAAGAAGTCTCATATTGCCACGTCTAGTAGAGTCTTGTATCATTGGTGGTGAGTCGCGACACATCAAATGGTACGAGAGGCTATATGATGATAGAGTTTCCCTTTTTCATCATTCGAATATCGTGCCATAGAACTCAACTCTATAAGATCTCTCTCTTATGTTTTCTTGTCCCGTAGTATTTTAAATTTAATTGCTTGGATGAGGTTTTTCCCTATGCTTGAGGGAGAAAAGTTGAGTTTAAATGCTTATCTTGGTTTTATGGTTTGAATGAGTATATGTGAATGTGAATTTTGGCATGTTTTGATGATTTGATGTCATTTATGGCTATACATGAAAACTTATGTGAAATAGAATGTTATGTTGAAAAATGTATGTCATGATATAGTTAAAACATGTTAAGAGTTAATATGGTTAAAATAAATTTTTTTCGAATGATTTGTTC